GAGCCCGATGCGGGACTCGATCCCGGGACTCCAGGATCATGACCTGAGCTGAAGGCAGTCGCTTAACCAACTGAGCCACCCAGGCGCCCGAGAAATGTTTTTATCAAAATCTTGACACTATGTTGCAGCAATACCTTTCTTCCTTTGTTTCAGTTGAGTTTTCGATTTGGTATCCGACGTTGAGAGTAGGCTGGAGGGAGATTAAGCCTAAATTAAACAAACAGTAAATTGCAAAGAACCGTTATCCAGCCTTTCAAAATTAAGATAAAGATGGTTTTGCTTTTAATGTAGTGTTACAGTGAAGAGGCAGCCTGTTACCAGAGTTCACAACAGTGCTCTCATGTAATTTCTGGCAGGATTTCCCTTATGATTCTTGCTCTATCATTCTATTGTTTTCTGCATCCCAGCTGCAGATCTCATAGACCTTCCAGGGTGAACACTCTTCCCACCCCTGTCTCTAAGCAGTCTCTCATTCCTTTGCTTTTCCTTCCTTTGCCAGAAAGTGACCACCTGACCAGTCTTTCTCTGAACTCTGTTTAAACAGGTGCAATACCAAGAACTGAAACCAGATACTTCTCATAGCCCATGTAAAAGGAAGAAAAACAATCTTGGCTAGCCAGCTCCCAGCACTGAGGAGACCAGCATCTGTTTGGGAAGATAAAAGAAAAAGCCTTCAGCCTCAGCAGCATTTCCTTTCTTCCTGCTTTTTATTTATTTTGCCTTTTTATCATGATCGAGAGAATTTGTAAATAGTGTACAAAGGCATATGTCTTTGAAAATATACTTCCATTGTACAGACTCAATTTGCTAAAGGTTTAGCTGTTGCTGTGTGAAAGCCTTGTTGGCTGTGGATAATAACATAACACACTGGAACAACAAATAGAAGCATGGTAACGTTGGGGGATATACACTTCTCTAATTACAAGTGGAAGCACCAGAATATTACATTAAATGCTCAGCTGTACCCTGATTAAATCTACATAAAACGTAAATGTCAATTTGATTTTTAAAGTTTTTTTTTAATGTGACTATTTTTTATCTGAAAAGTAATCCATTACAGTTGTTTTCTATGTTTTATACATGTCAAAAGAGAAGGGGGGAATCCCAAAATCTGAATTATGGAACAGATGCATTTCAATTTAACTAAGATTCTGACTTCAGATCCTGACTTTCATTCCTGTGCAAATTACTGAGATATGACTCGGCTTATTTTAAGCTAATGAGTGGAAGGTACATTCACTCTGTCAAGATAATCTTTCACACTCTACAAAGAAAACTTCCAAAGCTTCTATCATTCCATCTAAAACCTTAAAATCTCTACAGGATTACACATAAATACTGCCAGGTTTATAAATGATTGCCTATCTGAATTTTTATACCTACCACTACTTTAATTTGTACCAAGTTAGCAAGTTAGCAACCCAGTTCAGTTGTCAAAAATACTAGCAACCTAAATCCGTGTTGCTTTTGGTGTTTCTGTGCCTCTAAAAATATTTAATACTCAAGTGTTATCACACACACAAAAAGTACTTGCTTTCTCATAGATTACTGAAATGCTTTAATGCATAGTATGATTTTTGTTAGTGTGAATTTTAATGTAAAGAATGCTAGTGTGCTAAGTGATATGCCAGTGTTTCATTATATTCATTTATAGAAAAACTAATCAATCGTTCTTGATAATATGAATGCATGAAACCTATTTTGTAAAAAACAAAAAAAAATCAAAAAACAAAAACAACAAAAAACTGCTTATGGGGAGGGGGGAGTTTGCCTTTAAAAAAATGTTTCACTACTTACCATAGAATCTATACTTAAAAATTTCATTCCCAAGACTTATGGCAGTTTTGTACCTAGCTCCCTGATAAATCAAGGGAGTATACCTCTGGAGAGAGAAATAATTTGGTGAGAATGTTTTACTTCCCTGACTGGGTAGCGGATTAAGCTTGGCTGAAATGCTGTAGAAAATGTTTTGCACTACTTTATTAATAGACTGGGATAGGGTGAAGGGGGGGGTGGGTTATGATGGAAAAACAGAAAAGCCAGAAGCCAGAAATATATATTTCACTCTAAAGGAAGATTCTTTAAAAATAAATTTAATCTCATCAAAGCTAATTTTTAAAGTATTTTTATTTTAAAGCGACGTTGTTAAATACTATTTCTTATGATAGAACTATTTTGATCTGTTTATACACTATGCTTGAAAGAGAATGTCAATTAAATTCCCTTTCTACAGAAAGGCTTTGACCTCAATATGCTCTATTTAGCTCACCGTGTTTATAATAACATGCTCCTACCCGCATACCATCACTGTTTGTTGCTTAGACATAATACTCCATGAAGCTGATGTTCCCACAGAAAGTTTATTGATGGGATAATTTGTTTGAAATACCTTTTGATTAGACCTTGTGTGAGATTTATGTTCCGTGCTGACAGCGTCTACTCAAATGTCTACAAGCCTGATACTGTACAACTTCAGATGTACCTGCGGCATAGTAACCATTAACAGATGCCTAATTTTTGTTTCATTCTACCAACTTTCAGATGTTAAATTCAATGGTAATGTTGACTATACATTCACTGCATTAAATAAAAAAATCTTTTTTAAGTATAATCAGTACTCCTGTCTGCCTTTTTTTTTTTTGTGGTTGAGAGAGGAGTGCTGGAGGACTGTTTGCATATTCTTATAAATGACACTTAGAGAAACTGGGTTTGGTTTGGACAAAGGCTTCTCTGAAACCTTGACTATTGTATGAAACTCACTGCCTTCGAAGGAGTGAGCATGCGATGAAGTTGATAGAAGAGTACGAACTATCATCTTGAGGCATGAAATGATATTCAGAGGCCTCTTCATTGCTTACAAAAGTACTACATTCACAGGCTGAAAAGAAGAAACTGTGTCTAATAAAATTTTAACTATTTCTTTCCCCTTCTCACATGGGTACAGTTTTGCCTTTTGAAAGCTGTTTTAGTTTTGAAAGATTTTCCACGTAATTATTTTAAGATATCTTTAAGAGATTAAATGTCACTCCAGATAGGTGTGAGACTGCTAAATCCGGTAATCGTGTCAACTATTAAATATATTCTTCAGTGTCTTTTAGTAGTAAATTCCCTAAAGGTCAGTCACATGATATTGCTATTAACTGTAATTCCTAAGAAATGTGTATTTTAAACATTTTTTTCATTTATAAAAAGAACATAATACTTGCTCATTTTGGTACTGTTCACAGATTCAAACTGACAGATGCTATAGGGATTCCAAATTACATTTGAACCATACTATGGGCTAGGATAATCTGAATTGAAAGGTTTTTTTAAAAAAGATTTTAAGTGATCTCCATACCCAAAGTGGGGCTCGAACTCAACCCTGAGATCAAGAGTCTCATGCTCCACTGAATGAGCCAGCCAAACTGAAAGATTTTTTAAAATGACTTTGCTTTGTGATACATTTATTGAATACCTCTTACTATTATATGACTTGCCCTGTCACAGGCAATGATCCAACCAATGACAGTATATTAAAATCAAATCTGAAGCTATAGTAAGAACAAAATTTAATTGATAGGTTTCTGAGCGTATCTTTTATAGAATTTTATTTTATATATTTTTTTTGAGTAGCCCAATTTATTAAACTTATTGAATTTATAATTTAAAATCTTTTTTAATTTAAATTCAATTAACCAGCATATATAGTATATCATTAGTTTTTGATGTAGTGTTCATTGATTCATTAGTTGCGTATAACACCCAGTGCTCATCACATCACGTGCCCTCCTTAATGCCCATCACCCAGTTACCCCATACCCCACCCACCTCCCCTTCCGCACCACTCAGTTTGTTTCCCAGAGTCAAAAGTAGTCTCTCATGGTTTGTCTTCCTCTCTGATTTCTTCCCATTCAGTTTTCCCTCCCTTCCCCTATGATCCTCTGCACTATTTAAGAATTTTATTCTATATTTAAAAGAGAAAAAAAATTCAGTAGTAATCTCTCTTATTCAGGGATCCTGGGAACTTTTTTCTTCCATTTTGATCTTAATATCCAAATGTCTGTAATGCTGTAAGTGGTGTAATTTTGTATTAACCAGTCTTATTCAGAAGCTTTAATTTCAGTTCATATGCTTGTTAAATGTACCTCAATATTTCTGAGTTTTGTACTCAGCATTAAAAACAAATAAAAAAAAATGTATTATTAGGCCACTGATGTTCCAGAAATACAAGTAAAGAGATCCACCGTTATACTTCTTGCAAAAGCTTCAGGTATTATTAAAGGAATGCTTAAATTCTGGGGCTTTAAATGTCAAGTGTGAGTAGGTGTATGTGTACAGATGCCAATTCATTTGTTTGATTAGAGTATCTAGAATTAGCCTTTTCTAATTGTTCAGTCAAGTATGAATTAAAACCACATAAAAAATGTAATGAATACTTACAATAGTGTCATTCCTTGTAGTTACACTTCTCTTCCCCGGGATGACTGGTGTAACTCACTGAAAGAAAAAACACAAAACTTTCTTTTTTGGGGTGAAAATGTTAGGTCTTATGCCTTAGTTTCTACATCTGTACAGTGGCAGTCACATCGTAGAAGTTGTTATCAGCTGAATCTTTGAGATTTAAGAAACACCAAACAAAATATCTCGTTATGTAAGAATACCATGCAAAAAACCCCTAAAACATTAAATGTCCAAAGTGGTCACCTGCTGCAGAAGCTACCACCACCATGAAAGGTTTGCTGGAAGGTCATGATTGTGTATGCACTCTCCCAAGGGGATTTGTGCTAAGAACCAAAAAAAGTGTAACAAGTACACAAATGGTCTCAAATGAGTTTTATATTGAGATCTTCCTTTCTTCGTATTCTAAATTAATAACAAAGAAATGGTCCCTCAAATGCACAAGCTATATTTTTGTAGACAGGTTTTTTTTTTTTTTTTTAATTTACATGACGGTTGTGTCTCCACATGTTACTGAACAATTATAAAACTCCATTAAAAAAAAAAGTAATGGCACTGCTGTTCTGCTCTAGGCAATTAATAGCATTACTATATTAAGCTGAAAGCTTTATTTGTATTAAGAAGAGAAATAGGTAAGTAGCTATGCCAAAGTTTTCTCAGTCTGTAGCAAAAGTAAACATGCAACATAATTCTCCCCTGCTGCAGATTTTTCAGTGTTCCTTCAAGAGAAAAGGAGCGACCAACCTGAGTCAGTGAAGGAACCTGCAAACCACATCTTCTCAGGAGGAATGCATTTGGGATCCTAAGACCTGGCTCATTGCTGTTACTATGACAAGATGGTAGGCCAGGCTCAGTCCCACTTCCTATCAAAGACAAGCTTCAGGATGGCATGAGGCAACATTTTATTTTGCTAGAATTCAAATAGTAACAAGTTTAGGGAAAATGCTAACTGCAGAGAGAAAGGTGCACACCTGGCCCCAACCACTCGTAGGTGGCTCTTGATTACAGGAGACCCACCTGGGACAACAGTCAACAGTAATTACAGAGGCAGCTGGGACTACAGAAGGGAGCTGAGAGGAAGGAAGTACCATTGCTTGTCCCAAGTTCACAGATCTTCTAATAAAGCCATCCAGAGAACTGGAAACCTTACAACTCAACTCGACATCACTCCCTCAAAACATCCCTCCTTTGTACAGCAGTGATCATGACAATTATAAGCCCAAATTGTAACCTGATACTGAAATCATGGAGAATAATTTATTGGTGTCAAGAACTAATAAACTCTTAAAAAAATTTCATCAAGACTGAAGTGTCTATTTTCTATTATACAGAGGGATAACATTTGTGTTTTTGTTGACTTTGTTGTGTAACACGGGAGGTAACTAACCCAAGTTCTGACCCAATCTTACACGATGGTATTCTTACCCCTTACCTTTGATCTGGAACTCTTACACAGCAGATTCTGTTAACACAGAGAACTAGCAAACTTACAGGAGGGTCTTTGAAGCACAGAGGAACCCACTGGGAAAAGTCAAATACTTCATATGTTTGAAAAACTAGTTTTAAAATAGATCATTGTGGTGGTCCGTTTTATTTGTTTGAAGTCAAACATTAAAAATTTCCCTGTAGGATAAAAAAAAAATGCATTTCCAGCTATAATAGAGAAAACCTTTTTTGGGGGGGTGGTCATCACAAAACACCTGGCACTTGATAACTAAGAGTCAGGCACACCAACTCTTATGGGGTGGGATAGCAGGTACATACCATTCTTGTGGCATTATGATGTTAATGCAGAGTAATTGATGACCCATGATCTCCCATGACTGTGACAACACCCCTGACAAGCAGGTGAGAAATCTCCCCACCAAAACACATTAATGTGATATTCCCCGGTGCACTGTAATTACATTACTGGTATCCAATGAGTTTATATAAAATCATTGTTAAAATATTCTATTTTGAATTGTACTACTTAAAAGAGTACCTTACAAGAAACCATTTTCCTGGCCTTCACAGAAGAGGTGCAAAGTAATATGCTCTGGAGAACAGTGGCAAGACACTTTCACTCAGAATTCTCTCAGTGAAGAGCTGGCTGCCTGTATCTGCATTAGTGTTGTAAATAATACAATCAATAGTAAAAAGTGAATTTTTTTCCAGGTCTGTGATGATATAAGAAAAAAAATTCTCAGTAACACAGCAGTAACCTCCCTTCAAATAATAGACAAATGTAGCCTTCATTTAATCTGAGTGTTCTCCCTGCTTTTTGGTGTTGAATCTGAAA